ATAAATTAAAATACAATAAAATAGACGTTTGCAACCAGGCTACTTGGCACAGACCTGTGAACCAGCTATAGTACTGGGAAAGCTAAGGCAAGGAGAATCTTTACTATGAAGCCAGTCTGGGCAATTTAGCAAGACCCCGCTTCAAAACAAAACAAAAGGGCTGGAGATGCAATTCAGTGGTAGAGTATGTCCAGGTTCAATCCCCAGTACTGTAGAAAAACAGAAAATTTACTGAGGAGTGATCAAATCAGCCCCAGCCTTGCTAGCTCTGTGGCTTTGGGGAAGACACCTTGTCTCCCTGTGCCTCAAGCTCTTTTTTTTTTTTTTTTTTTTTTTTTTTTTTTTTTTTTATCGAACTCGGGTCCTTGTGCTTGCAAGGCAGGCCACCGAACCACTGAGCTAAATCCCCAGCCTAGAATGAACTTTCTATGAGTATCCACCTCATAGTGTTGCTGTGGGAATTGATGAGTTAATAAACGGAGAGTTAATAAATGAAAGAAAGCTATATATATAACATATCTAATATATATTACAATTTTTATTTATTTTTGAATTTTGGATTAGGGCTCTGAATGAAGAAGGCCTTTTCTTCTCCCCAAATACAAAAATATTCTTATATTTTATCTTAAGTAGGTTCTTTTTATTTTTAGCACATTTTAGTCTTTAAATGTAGGTAAAATGCATTTAGGTACCCTGTATGAAGTAGGGGGGGAATCTAGATATGCTTCTTAACAAACATAAAGCTTGTTGGTCCCATAATTTAGTAAAAAAAAAATCCATCCACATCACACTGGTTTGAACTACTTGCTATTCCTCTATAATTTTATGAGTTTTCCTTCTACAGAGAAAACCTTGGCGTTGTTGTTTACAGTGTTAGGCATCAAACCCAGGGCCTCAACATGTTTTCCAAGTTCTCTACCACCCTTAACCCCAAAAGTTAATCCTTAATCCCAAAGAATTTTAAAACGAAAAGACAAATTTTCCTGAAGGACGGATTGGCGGGTCAGGGAAAAAATGTAAAAGTCGCTCAAATGCTCACTTGGCAATGAAGCCAGACTCTAAAATTTGATAATCCACTCCTGAATTCTGGGATTTTTGTTCTTGATTTCTTATATTCTCCTATGAGAATGAGTCTTGGAATTGTCAGGCAAATCAAAGGGAAGTAACACCTTGGCTCTTTTGCTTACCCCTTCCCCCACAGGAAACGTCATGACCTTGAAGTTTCTGAGTGATGCTTCAATAACAGCAGGAGGTTTCCAACTCAAGTACATCACGGTGGAACCCACATCCAAATCCAGTCAAGGAAAAAATAGTAGTACCACATCCACTGGCAGTAAAAACTTTTTAGCTGGAAGATTTAGCCATTTGTAAATCAAAGGATGTTCAAAATATGCAATGTTTTGCCGGGGATTTAGCTCAGCGGTTTGGTGGCCTGCCTTGCAAGAGCAAGTACCCTCATTCTCCGGTACCAAAAAAAAAAAGCAATGTTTATTGCATCTTTGGAACCTCCTCGATATGACTTTTGTATTACTATTTTTGTTAACATTTATTTATTGTTTTTCTACATGTGAAAGTAATACCTAATTTGGTGAGTAATCAAAAGATTCAGAAAAATTCAAATGCAAAAATAAAATCTCTTCTAATTCAACTGAATAGAAATAACTAGGGCTAACATTTTTTTTTTTCATTTTTCTACTTGTAGTATATGTATATATGTATCTATATGTATTTGTATTTTAAATTTTGGAATCGTTTCTATGTACAGTTTTATATACTGGTTTTGGGGGGAGTATTTTAACCTTAAACTTTAGTGTTTTTTTTTTTCTTTTTATTGAGTTTATTGGTACAATCTAGGTATACAATACAATTACATTCATCATTGGGATTCTGTACCTTTACATAATAGGTCTTGATTCTCATTTTTCCCCTTGTCCCTGCCCTCCCTTCACCCCCTCCTCCCCTCCCCATTTACAAACACTTTATTTCCATTTTTTCAGTTTTTCATATTTTTTTCCTCTCCCTTATTACCTTTCCCCCACCCTTCCCACTTTCCTTACACCTTTAGCCCTTTACTTCCTATTTCACATTATTAATTGTCTCATTAGGATCCTGTGTACTATTATAGTTTTTCACACCAAAGAAACTATTTGGTATTTCAGTTAAAGGAATCTCTGTATGAACATAAAAAATAGGGAATCCTAAAATAAAACTAAAAAGGAAAGTAAAAGAGAAAAGGCAATGATGTAACATCAAAATAATCCTTAATTCTGGAGATGAAAATGGTCCCTGAACATATTTAAATTGCTTCTCGCTCTTGTAGTCTTATCTTATTCTTTTTTCATTATTTAGAGAATACTTTATTAGTTTCTGTAATCAAACCCACGTAGATATGACCTTACGTATTTAGTACAATGTGTTACTCCTGTACACAGGGAAAAAAATAAAAATAAAAATAAATTAACTTTTCTAGACCAATACGGTTGTCCATTTCTGTACAATGCCAAGTCAACACAGTAAATTGGGATGACTTTTTCCAAAGTGGCAGCACCATTAAAGTTTCCCAAAATTCAATTTATATATATATATATGTGTGTGTGTGTGTGCACATATATATATAAAGACTAATAATAGTATGTTATGCATCGATAGCAGCAACAGCTTTTCCAGGTTCTGCAGTCATCTGAACAAAATTATAGATATTCAGCACATTCCATTAAAAAAAAAAAAACCAAAGAAAAGAATAATACCCAGACAACAGCCAAGTTCTGTTGCTGCTGTGGTACCTGGCACCATTTTTTCTATTAGCCTCTTAATCATCATCTGGAAAGAGAACATTCTAGAGTAATATCATTAAATGTAGCTCTGATAAAGCACGGTCCCTACTATGTATCATAAAGCAGGTACTAGATATTTTACATTCATAGAGGTATGGTACAGTATTGTCCTACATCAATAATACTAGATTCAGTTTTGGTTTGAAATTTACTTTGTCTGCAAATAAGATTGCTACCCCTGTTTTTTTGGGGAGCTCCTGTCACATGGAGAATTGTTTTCTGTCTTTTCACTTTCAGTCTATGGGCTTCTTTTTGCACTAGGTGTGTTTCTTGTATACAACATATTATTGGATTTTGCTTCTTATTCCATTTTGCCAATCTGTTTCTCTTGATTGGTGAGTTGAGGCCATTGACAATGCTGGTTATAACTGATATGTACTGGCTTATTATTGACATGTTATTGGCCTTTTGTTGACTCTTAACCTTAAACTTTAAACCTAAGTATTTCCTAAATCATTAAGTATTCTACAAAAACGTGACTTTGAATAGCTGTAGATCATTCCATGGAATATTCCACATTTTATTTAAACCCATCTCTATTGTTGGAATTTTAAATTGTTTTCAGAAATATTGCTGCAATAAATACCCTTGAACATACGTATTTGTGCAGTTCTTTCATTTGGGGGATAAGGACCTAGAAGTAGAATTACTCAGACTGGAGACAATTTAAAATAAAATTTTCTCTGGGGATTTAGCTCAGTGGTGCATCCGGCTGCTTCACAAGTGCAAGGTCCTGAGTTCAATCCCTGGTACCAAAAAAATAATAAATAAATAAAAATAAAATTTTCTCTCTCTTTTTTTGGGGTGGTTGGTTTTTTGAGACAGGGTCTCCTTACATAGTTCAGACTGACGTTGTACTCATTATGTAGTCCAGGCTGGCCTCCAACTCTCAGTCCTCCTGCCTCAGCCTCCTGAATGCTAGATTTACGGGTGTGTGCTACCGTGCCTAGCACTAAATTTTCTTTTGGAGAGCAATGATACATCAGCATAGTTTGAATTTCCATTTCCATGTTAGTGAGACTGACAATTGGTTTATCGAATTTTGATTTCTTTTGTGAATTATTTTCCCATACTTTTTACCTTATTTGTTTGCCCCAGGCTGGCCTTGAACTTGCTATGTGGCCCTGGCTGGCCTCAGTCTCTAACCTCCAGCCTTGGCCTCCCATGATGTAGCTGAGATTACAGACTTGTGCCCCCACACCCAGCTTTTTTCAGCTATTTAGAAACACACACACACACACACACACACACACACACTCAACAATATTTTCTCTAACTGAGCTGTAAGGAACAATTATACTAGGTATATAGTCTGTCATATATGTTGTAATCTGATTTTAAATTTGTGGTTTGCCTTTTGCTTTCTGGGTTTCTTTTTTTAATCAAAGATTAAATTTTATGTTATCATGCATATTTACTTTGCTGAGTTTTTTTTTCTATTGTATTTATGTTTAGGAGTGTCAAGAAGCAAAATAAAGCCAGGTGTGGTGGCACACACCTGTAATCCCAGCACTTGGGAGGCTGAGGCAGGAAGATCACTGTGAGTTCGAGACCAGTCTGGGCTACATAGTGAGTTCCAGGTCAGTCTCTACATAGTGAGACCCTGTCTCAAAAAACCATAAAAAAGGAAAATAAGGGCCAGGGATTTAGCTCAGTGGCACTGTGCCTGCCTTGCTTGAGCAAGGTCCTGAGTTCAATCCCTGGTATTGGGTGGGGCACGTGAAATGATTTAAAGAAAATTAGTTTAAAACTCTAATTGGCTTTATCAGCAATTCCAGAATAGAGCAACTCCTTATTTTGAAAACAGAATAAGTGTCCTGATGCTTGAGGAGCTTGGCTTCATAGATAGAAAAAGACTGAAGAAAGAAAGTAGATACAGGGAGCCAGGCATGGTAGCGCATGCCTGTAATCCCAGCACTAGGGAGGCTGAGGCAGGAGGATCGCTGGGAGTTTGAGACCAGCCTGGGCTACATAGTGAGTTCCAGGTCATTCTCAACTACATAGTGAGAGGGCTGCACCTAAAAGTTGGCTTTAAGTCCAGCAGATTGCTCCACTCCCCTCCACTGCCCTGCTGCCACATCCAACACAGATCTCAGTGGTCTGTTTGATTTCCCATCTGCCTGCATGATTAGGGTTGTACCTTGGTTTGGACAGTTGCCACGTACTAGGGTATATGGAGCATGAGGGTACCTCACAAACCCGCACTCTGGAAAGCTAGGCAGAGAAAAGGGACTTGGGGATCTCAGAGAGACATGAAAACTGGGAGTGGCTGGACTGACTGTAGTCCTAGAGTGGGCTCCATTGACCAAACATTCCCAGCAGGAAAGGTGGGGCAGGATTCAGCATTCTCACACAAAAATACTAGCCATGGAGACAGATCAGGTCTCACCATACTTCCCCTGTATCTGGTGGATTCCAATTCTGCAGAGCTGGAAAGAAGCTGCCCATTCAAAAACATGAAACCCGGGTGTGGTGGCACATATCTGTAATCCCAGCACTCTGGAAGCTGAGGCAGCCACAATTCAAGGTCAGCTTCGGCTGCACAGTAAAACCTTAAAAAAAAACTAGCAACAACAACAAAACCAAAAGAAACAAAGAAAGAAGAAAAAAAGGAAGAATTTTTAAAGACTTATATCTGTCTCTTTTTAGGGAGGTTGGGTTTTTTCTTTTATCTCCCCCCACTTATTTATTTAGTTAGTTAGTTATTTTGGTACTGGGGATCAAACTCGGGACTTTGCACTCACAAAGCAGGCTGCAGAACCACTGAGCTAAATCCCCAGCTTCCCCTTCCTTCTAAAAATTTTTTCCTGTTTATTTCTTTTTTCTTTTTTTCTTGTATGTTCATTTCTGGTAATTTTATCTAATTCTAGTGTCACCTACTCCTTAATAGTATCCTCACTTTTCTCTCCTCATCTTCCTTTTCTTTATTTTTCAAATCTTCTTTCATTTTCTCCTTCACCACACCCTTTGTCTTTACTAGCATTACTACTAATTTTGTTAATCTTTAGATATTTAGATAAGAATTTGTTAATCTCTTTTTTTTTTTTGGTGCCGGAGATTGAATTTGGATCCTTGCGCTTTGCAAGGCAGGCGACTGAACCGCTGAAGAATTTGTTAATCTTTATATATAATCAATCTTTAGACTCTAAGCTATTACGGTGGAAGTCTGTTCTATTGTTAATGATAGCTTACTTTTGCATTTAGTAGATATTTACTGTTAGCCAATACAGTAAAGTCTTGAATTACGAGTGACTTGTTCAGTGAGTGTTCTGCAAGATGAGGAAACATTTCTAATAAATTTTAATTTGATAAATGAACAATGTCTTGCAATATGAGTAGTACATGACAGCAAGCGTTACATGATCACAATTGAGGCAATGTTTCTCTCTCTCACTGTGGGATGGGGACAATCATCTCTCAACAGCAAGAGAAATCTCATTTTACAGAGAAGGAGGAGAAAAAGCAAAGGAATCACTTCAAATGAGATTAGAGACTTGTAAATTTGGGAAATAGTGCAAAAGTTTGCAGAAAAGCACCACCCTAATAAGGCTGTAGCAGTGAGAGAGATAAATCTGTTTAACAACAATGCAAGGGTCGGGGATGTAGCTCAGTGGCAGTGTGCCTGCCTGACAAATTCAAGGTCCTGAGTTCAATTTCCAGTACCAAGAAAAAAAAAACGGTGAAATGTCATATTTCTGCAAAATCCTCAAAAGGATGCAAAAGCAAATGCTATTGAATAGGTTCCCTGTTAAAGTTGCACACAAAAAAAAAGAAAAGAAAAAATTCCATTGAGCCAGTAGACATCGGTGATTCTATTATTTATCTTGAAAGTTGTCCTGTACAATAACCCTCTTCTCTCGTCTCCTCACACCATGAATGTTTTTCAAAGGTAAGTGCAAGTTAATTTATTTTTCTTTATAGTTTGTATTTTCTTCATTATTTCATATTAAAATATGGTATTGTAATCATGTTTTTTTGGGGGGAACAAATTATCAGAGTTTCCATTATTATGAAATTTTCTTTCATATAAAAG